TTGGACAAGTTTGATCGGCTCAAGATCTAGTTCGTTGTTTGCTTTTATTATTTATATTTATTTCTTCCTTTTATTATTATAGTTTCCATATTATTTTAGGAAATAAATAATTTCCTTGCAACATGTTTAGCAAGGGTAGGACTCTCTTTTGTTATTTAAAGGGAGAGAACAGATAATGAAGTCAGTTTTTGAATCGAATGAAAATTATGATTGTTCCCAGAGAGAGTATCTCTGACTGTTCTTACGTTTGAGAGAGTATCTCAATTCCTATTCGTATCACGTTCTACATCAGTTGGTATCCAGAGTCAAGCGACGATCCACGATGCCGCCAAAGAGGGATAACGTTGATGATCGATTCCAGCGAATGGACGAGCGATTCCAGGGGATGGACGACCGATTTACGAACCTTTCTGAGGGGGTCGAGGAGATTCGACTGACTATGCATACCTTGATGGTGCGAACCGCGAGGCCGGTGACCGGGGCAATCGCGGAGGGTTTCGAGGAGGCCGAGGGGGACGTGGCCATGGTGGGGCGCCCCGCCGGCGTTCACCTCCAACTCCGACCGGCGAGTTCGATGAAGAGGATACAATTAGCGTTGATAACCCTTTCACTCAGGATATTCGTCGTCGACCGGAGGACGAGCGGTTTCCTGATCGCGGAGGGCTGGGCGATCGCGATCTGCACGGCTTGGGTAGAGGTGATCCCCGTCGTCGCCATCCTGTGTTCCAGCGGGAGGACGACTTCTTCGACGGGGATGATGAACAGGGTGTCGGTTGGCATCACAGGCGACGACCGCTAGGGTTCCAGCGGGGCGGTGTTGATGAGGACGAGCTGAGACTTTATGAACAGGGTTTTGACGAGGAGGATTTTCTCAGGCAGGATATGAGGGATTTTGGCCATGGTCCACCGCGCAGGGGTGGTGTTGGTGGCCGCGACGCAGCTGCGAGGGGTTTGCATGCTCGACGTGAGGGTAGGCGCCCGATTGGATGTGGCGATGAGTCGCGTGGTGACCTAGGGTTTCGTGTGGACATTCCGGAGTTTACGGGAGGAGTCGACGGCTCTGACTTCCTTGATTGGTGGGCGGCAGTGGATGCGGCTCTCACTTTCAAGGATGTTCCAGACGACCGCAGAGTCGATTTGGTCGCTACTCGTTTTCGGGGTCGTTCGGCGACGTGGTGGATGCAGTTAACTAGTGTGCGGCATCGTCAAGGGAAACCGCGATTAACATCGTGGGTGAAGTTTCGCGAGCTAGTAGAACGTGAGTTCGTACCTTATAACTATGATAGTATTGTTTACCAACAGTTACATAACTTACGTCAGGGAATGCGTTCGGTTGATGATTATACTCATGAGTTTTATCGCTTGTTGACTCGTGTTGAAATACGTGAGACCTGGAACCAATTAGTCTCACGTTACATCAGCGGTTTACGGGCTACTATTTGGGAGACGTTGAACTTATTTCAGCCAGAGACGGTTTCGGACGCGCACCAAAGAGCCAGGTTGGTCGAACTACAACAGTCACAAAAAATGGGTCCCTCTGTTGGGTCGACTTCACGGGAGCAACAACCGTACGCGGGGGGAGGCCAGAACGTCCGCTCCTCACCGACAGCGACTACCAATCCGGGCCAGGGACCGGCTACTAACAGATTTCCGTCCACTTCTGGCCCGTCTGCGCGTGTTGGCGGGTTTGCGGGGCAGCCACCAACGTCGATTCCCCCGCGAGCTGTGGCGGGCCTTCGGTGTTTTACATGCGGAGAGGTGGGGCACCGGCAGGCGGCCAGTCCGAAGGGGGCTGGTTCTCGGGCTCTTTTTGCGGAGGAGGGTGGCGAATAGGACACCTTGGAGGGATATGATGGTTTGCCGGTGTATGATGCTGAAGGTGGTGAGGCCGAACAGTTCGTGAGCAGTGATACTGTTGGGACCCTCTTGTTCATCCGTCGGACGTGCTTGGCACCAAGGGTTTCGAATGAGATACCAACAGAACGGAATCACCTCTTTGAGTCGACATGCACAGTTGGTAACAAAATTTGTCGTTTTATTATTGATTCTGGTGCTTGTGAAAATGTTATTTCTCAGGAAGCTGTCGACAAGTTGGGTCTTTCATGTGACCCTCACCCTCAACCTTATACTTTGGCGTGGATTCAACGAGGCAGTGCGGTGACCGTTGATAAACGGGCATTGGTCTCTTTTTCTATCGGCCCGACTTATTACGATCAGGCCTGGTGCGATGTAGTTCCTATGGATGCCTGCCATTTATTATTGGGTCGACCATGGCAGTATGACCGGGCAGCTACTCATGATGGCCGCCAGAACACATATTCTTTTCTTTTTGGTGGGATCAAGATTACTTTACTTCCTTCTACTCCTCGTGCGCTGCCACCAATGGGTTCTACTTCTTCAGTCCTTTTTATTTCGCATTCGGCTTTTGTGACAGCTCTTCGGGACTCTTCTTTGGTGTTATTATTGGTTGGGACTGATACGAGTTCTGAGCAGGACATTCCGTCGGCTATTCGACCCTTATTGACGGAGTTTGCAGATGTCTTTCCGGCGGACCTTCCTTCGGGCTTGCCACCACTTCGGGACATTCAACATCAAATTGATCTCGTGCTCGGGGCTTCCCTCTCTAATCGTCCTCACTATCGGATGAGCCCGGCGGAGCATGAGGAGCTACGTCGACAAGTGGAGGAGCTTATTCAGCGTGGGGTAGTCCGGCCCTTTTGATCCCTAAAAAGGACGATTCCTGGCGCATGTGTGTGGATAGTAGGGCCATTAATAAGATTACCGTTCGTTATCGATTCCCTATTCCTCGGTTGGACAATTTGCTGGATCAACTGCATGGTGCCACTATTTTCACCAAACTGGATTTACGGAGTGGCTATCATCAGATTTGGATTCGCCCGGGGGATGAATGGAAGACGACATTTAAGATTCGGGAGGGGCTATTTGAATGGCTCGTAATGCCATTCGGTTTATCTAATGCTCCTAGTACTTTCATGCGTGTGATGAATCAGGCGCTACGGGACTTTATCGGGAAGAGTGTCGTCGTTTATTTCGACGATATTTTTATTTACAGCCAGTCTTTGGAGGAGCATCTACAGCATGTTCGTGAGGTATTACTTGTTTTATGTACTGAATCTTTTTTTGCTGCACCTCGTAAATGTACTTTCTTGGCACATTCTGTGTTGTTTTTGGGTTTTGTAATTTCGGCGGACGACATTCGGGTGGACGATAGCAAGGTGGATGCTATTCGTGATTGGCCCACTCCGACGTCCTTTACCGAGGCCCGTAGTTTTCATGGCCTTGCCTCATTCTACCGTCGATTTATTTCCCACTTCAGCACTATTACGGCTCCGATTGCTGATTGCCTCCATGTGTCGTCGTTTGTCTGGACTCCGGAGGCTGCAGAGGCTTTTACTTTGATCAAACGTAAGTTGAATTCGGCCCCTGTGTTAATTCTGCCTGATTTTACGAGGCTGTTTGAGTTGTCGTGTGACGCTTCGAATGTGGGCATTGGTGCCGTCCTCAGTCAGGAGGGTCGTCCCATGTCTTTCTTCAGTGAGAAGCTTTCTGGGTCCCGTTCTCGTTACAGTACCTATGATGTTGAGTTTTATGCCATTGTTCAGGATGTTCGTCAATGGCGCCATTATCTTTTTCATCGGGAATTTATTCTCTACACGGATCACGAGGCCCTACGCTATTTGGCTTCTAAAGATCATATCTCTGCTCGCCATGCCTCTTGGATTGCTTTTCTGCAGTAGTTCACGTTTGTTCTGCGGCATCGGTCCGAAGCTTCGAATCGCGTGGCTGACGCATTGAGTCGGCGGGCCTTGATGATCTCTGACATGCGTGTTTCGGTGGTGGGGTTTGATGTGTTGCGAGAGGTCTATGCTGATGATGTGTTTTTTGGGCCCATTGTGCGCCGTCTCGGCTTTGGGCCTTTCGAGGATTATTCTTTGACAGATGGGTTTTTGTTCTGAGGTGTTCGGCTTTGTGTTCCGGAAGTCTTCGTCTCAAGCTCATCGCGGAGATTCATGGCTCGGGTCATGTCGGCCGTGACCGATCAGTGGAGCTTGTCAGCCGTTCATATTTCTGGCCTTCCCTTCGTCGTGATGTGTCCCGGTTTGTGGAGAGGTGTCGTGTGTGTCATGTGTCGAAGGGGGTTGCATCGAATGCCGGTTTGTACCGGCCACTTCCTCTTCCATCTCAGCCGTGGAGTGCTATTAGCATGGATTTCGTGCTCGGTTTGCCACGTACTCAGCGAGGTTTCGACTCTATTTTTGTGGGTGTGGATCGCTTTTCGAAGATGGTCCACTTTATCCCTTGCAAACGGACCACCGATGTTGTTCACGTGGCTCAATTATTCTTTCGGGAGATTTACCGATTGCATGGTCTTCCTTCGTCCATTGTTTCGGATCGCGATACTCGTTTCTTGAGCCACTTTTGGCGCACTCTCTGGCGGATGGCGAATACTCAGTTGGACTTCAGCAGCGCTTACCACCCTCAGACGGATGGGCAAACAGAGGTGGTGAATCGGTCATTGGGCAACCTGCTGCGGTGTTTGGTCGGCGATAACCTTCGGAGTTGGGACCAGCGGTTGAGCCAGGCTGAGTTTGCCCACAACTCAGCTCTTAGTCGTGCCACCGGGTTGTCGCCTTTTGCGACGGTTTATGGTATTCATCCTCGTGGTCCTTCTGACTTGGTTGCTTTGCCGTCCTCTTCTACGACCGATCGTCGGGCAGTCGATATGATTGCAGATTTGCAGGCTATTCATGCGAGGACACAGGCTCACCTCGAGGCTACCACGGCGGCATACAAGAGACACGCGGATGCTAAGAGGCGCCATGTTGAATTTGAGGTCGGGGACTATGTATGGGCTGTTTTGACGAAGGATAGGTTCACGGCCCATGAATATAACAAGTTGTCGGCCTGGAAAATTAGTCCTGTCGAGATAGTTGAGAAGATCAACCCTAATGCCTATCGTTTGCGTCTTCCCTCCCACATTCGGACTTCTGACGTTTTTAACGTCAAGCATTTGGTGTCTTTCTTGGGGGACAATTCCGATGGAGACGAGACCGGTTCGGATTCGCGGCCGAATCCTTCTCAACCCGGGGAGGATGATGGGGACGAGACCGCCTTAGCCTTCTTGGATAAGTTTGATCGGCTCAAGATCTAGTTCGTTGTTTGCTTTTATTATTTATATTTATTTCTTCCTTTTATTATTATAGTTTCCATATTATTTTAGGAAATAAATAATTTCCCTGCAACAAGTTTAGCAAGGGTAGGACTCTCTTTTGTTATTTAAAGGGAGAGAACAGATAATGAAGTCAGTTTTTGAATCGAATGAAAATTATGATTGTTCCCAGAGAGAGTATCTCTGACTGTTCTTACGTTTGAGAGAGTATCTCAATCCCTATTCGTATCACGTTCTACATCACTCCCCCAATTTTAATTGGAGGACGAAACACAACAATGGTCCAAAAATTATAACGTGGAATGTCGTGTCACACCACTCTGCTTGGCCCTACGCTTGACGCCGCTCGTTGCCGGAGATCTGAATAGTCCCTCCTACGCGCAGTCGTTAATTGCCTCCTTGGGCATCTATATTGAAAAGATACATCCCCATTGAATATATCATATGTAGTGATAATACTATTGAAAAATTAAATAATATAGTAATAAAAATAAAATCGATGGTCGGGTGTAGAGCTGTAAACGAGTCGAGCCGAGCTCGAGCTTAAGGTGTTTAAACTCGAGCTCGAGCTATTAACGAGTCGAGCTGAGCCCGGCTCGTTAAGTAAACAAGCCAAAAATTGAGCTCGAGCCTTAACGAGCCGACCTCGAGCTTTAACGAGCCGACCTCGAGCTTCAACGAGCCGATCTCGAGCTTTAATGAGCCGAACTATTAAAAATTACATAAATTTTACTTTTCGAGCCTTAACGAGCCTTATCGAGCCAAGTCGAGCTCGGCTCGTTAACCAAACGAGCTTTAAATGAGCTCGAGCTCGACTCGTTAAGGCTTTGAACTCAAGCCGAACCGAGCCTTAACGAGGCGAACCGAGCCTTAACGAGCCGAGCTTGTTTAATTTAACAGCACTAGTTGGGTGCAATTTAAAATTATAAATTTCACCTTAAAAGTATCTATGTGCATTAAAAAACTATTCAATTTGTAAAAGTATATATATTTTTTGATATACTATTTTATAAATGAAGAATAAGTTAATAAAAAGCAATATATAATAATTTCAATTGTAGCACTTGGTAATTATGAAAATATATAATATATCTAAATATTCGATTAGATACTATGTAACTCATTATATAGGTTGAAAATGTGAATTAAAAAATAAATATTGATGGGTCTTCTCCTAGATCTGGAGTGAACCGGTTGAGGTGAGCTCCGATCTGTCTAGATTGCTTCTAGACCGTCGCGAATACCTGCAAGAACCCAACGCCGGTGGGGTTGCCGGCGAAGGGCCTCCGACGCTCAAGTCAGTAAACAGAAGAGAGAATGTATGGAATGAATGGGAGTTAGGATTTAGGGTTACCTCAGCCCCTTTATATAGGAGAAAACACTTACGTGAAGTACCCAAAATGTCCCAGTTGGTCTACCTGAAATGTCTGAAATACCCCGGTCTGTTTGTCTCCCCTCACTGCTTAGTCATCATCATATTCCTTCTTATCCATTTACTGCCTTTAGATCATGCTCTTGTAGTCACATAGACCTCTAGGAAGTCTAGTAACGGAGACCTCTAACAGCAGAAGTCTAGTAACGGAGGCCTCTAGTAAGTCGAGCGTGTTGAGACGAGATGACCTCTAGCAAGTCTAGCAGGTCGAGACGACCTCTAGCAAGTCTAGTAGGTGTAGACGAAACGGCCTCAAGCAAGTCTAGTAGGTAGATGAGAGATGACCTCTATAAGGTAGAGGTGAGTGACCTCTAGCAGGTAGAGGCTAGATGAGTGAAGGTGAGTGACATCTAGCAGGTAGAGGAGAGCACCTCTACTTCTCATATTTAGTCGTGTAGAGCACCTCTACTTCTCCATACTTAGTCGTGGGGAGCTTATCATACTTAGTCGTGTAGAGCACCTCTACTTCTCCATACTTAGTCGTGGGGAGCTTCTCATACTTAGTCGT